ATTCAGCACCGTCATCCTCTTGCCATGCTCCAGTGGAACAGAGACGCGCAGTACACCGCGAGGTCTGAGGTTGAAAAACACACCTAGCCATGACCTTGGCAAAAGGACAAATGTCAGGCACCGTCATTTCATTCAAACCACCAAGGAAACCGAACTTGGCAGCAGCATAGTTGGACCACTGCAGGTAGAACTTTGTGTTATTTTGGGTAGGGTCGGGTGGGGTGGGGTAATAGCATTTGCTATCACTTGCGCACATACCTCGTGCTACCTTAGACATGGGGTGAGCTGGGGTGGGGTTATGGCGTAGGGCAGCAACATCACTTGGACACATACGTGACGCTGCTAGTAAGTTACAGTAAGTTAGAGTTGAGCTTCACCAACTCACCCCACGGACATCATTGGACATCATTCAGGGTTCGGGGGCGGTGCATTTTTCTGGTGCATTTCTCCAGTCAAAAACACATTCTTGGCATTTCTTGACCCAGGTTTTGTCTCATTTCAGACCCCGTGTTTTGCTAAAACCTCCGAGTGTCGGTCTGTCCCTCGTCGCCTGGACCTCGCTTCGAGACCTTTGCAGGTCGCCAAAGTGATCAAAGCTCTCCGCCTGAAGACCTGCGATGGCCTCGCAGTTCCTTACTAAGGCGCACCATTTTCAGTTTGAAAACTCGGGAACCCTCCCGTAAATGGAACTCATTGGGATTCCTGGTCAAAAGTCACCAAGTTTATAGATGTTTATAGTGGTTTGGGATGTTTGGGATGTTTGGGGTCCTGGAGTCCAAGTAAACCTGGCTCGGAGGTGATATTCCAGGAGACTTCGAAAACTGCCCCTTCCATGACCTTCCGCCCAGGGTCTTTCGTCGCAGCACCACTAGTTGCCCTGCAATGTTCCCAAAAAGGAAGTGCGCGGGGATGGAGTGTCGCCATCGAATCGCCAGGCTCATCGACAAACAGAGAGCTACCAGTAGCCAGGTCCAAAAGAGATCGCTACAAAACCATCGCATCCGGCCCCACGGAACCAGGATCTGAAGGAACAGACTTTGTAGAGCTCCCATGCTGAGGAGAAAACATGTCCAAAGAACCATGGATGGTATTCTTGGATGGCATCTCAAATAAGTGCAATCGAATTCCTCTGACAGGTGGAGCATCAGCGAGTCCAGCATAGAAGTGCTCAAGACTTCTTGAAGCAAAACCTAACTTGAAACATCTTGAAACTCTTGCGCAAACTTGGGGTATGATAAGTATAAGATAGTATAAGTATAATATACAATATCATGTATTCCGAAATGAAACCATTGTGAGGCCCTGTTATGGTCTTGTGATGCTTTGTCTTTGTGTGTTTTTTTTCGCTTCCAGGGTTTTTACAGTAATCTCAACCCCGCTCCTCTGGGCGGTTTGTATAACTGGGAGGCTGGGAGGGTACCATTTTTGTAGCAAATCATCACCACCTGGGGGTAACCCCCTCAAACAAGTTCTGATGAAGCAAGTTTTGGAAAGCCAAATCAGCTCCCGCATGTCGGATGTAGTCCGCTTGGCGCGCATAGCGCAGTTGGGCAGATCCATTGTTGATCTCCATGGGCGCATCATAGCAGGCATCATGCCACCAACGTCCCAAGAAAAGCCCCAGAAGAAACTTCAGTGGATGAATCTGCAAAGGGAAGGAGATGGCACATGCATTCCACGTCATGATCCTCAAACGACTCGTCTTGGGCACCATTTCACTGATCTCAGGGGCAACAAAGCTACTCTCCAAGCATTCCAGCGAGGCGAGAGGCTCCAGGATTTCGCACACCTGCCATGATGGTAGCCATATGTAGCCATAAATGACTGAAGGCTGTGAAAAATCTCACCCATATCCATCCACATCCCATATACTTGCCCTGTGATTAAATAAGATCGAATCATAATCTGGACACCATGGACCATCATGGACCTCATGTTGAAAATGACTCAGAGATGTCCGTTTGGAATGCAGGGCTTTTTTTTTCAAATCCTACCAATTCATCATATTTCATCATACCAATCCATGATATCCATGGGACTCCACCACTTAGTGTCTCACCAAAACCTTAAATTTGCAACGGACACTGGCGCTGTTCACCAAGCCTGGCGACTGCTCTTGCGGCTTAAGGTGATTGCTTTGGACATGAAGAGCACCGATTCGCAGAGCCTACGCCAGAACCTGGCAGAACACACAGTTGTTCTACGAATAAATTGAGCCACGAATAAGGTATCCTCAGGTTAGGTATCACATGGTATCACGATATCATTTTTTCTTGATTCAGATGATTCAGGAATGCTAGATGCAACACTGCTGCAACACTTTTCCACTCACAGAAATCGCTAATCTTGGGAGGGTCAAACTCCATCTGAAATGCCGCGAGTTACTCGGCGTTTCTCTGCGAGTCCAAGGCTGAGCTATAGATTTTTGCATGTTTCTGGAGGATCCTGGGCACGGCGAAGAGCAGTGGAACTAATTCACAGTTTGTTTATGGTGAATATTGGGTAATATGGTTGGCTAATGGATGGTAATGCTTCATGGAACAACTGCCTTTTAATGCTTGGTCATTCAGGACTCCCAGTTCAACCATGATAATCCCCAATCTGTAGAGGCTAGTGTAAGCCGACTCCCCTTAACCATCAACAAACACCAGGGAATTTGAAACCAATAGCATGTTGAAGCTCCCTTCCCAGCTTGATCCATGGACTGGCTGCTGACCTGGTTTTTGACAACTTTTGAGACAGAGGATCTGTGAGGGGGGGCTCCATTGTTCGGAGAAAAAACATATGTACTGGAACATGCTAGCACTACAGTACACTTTTTGGTGGCCATGCCCCATGTGTGTTCATTTCTACATGTTCTGCTTATCCCAAGTAATGAATGGGTTTGATCCATGGTTCCCTCCTCACGTTTACTCTAAACAAAATGTTTGAATACTCGGAAAAGCATGGGGAAACAATCATCAAACATATGTTGCAACATGGGGAAAAAAAACATGGAAATTCTCATATTTTTGGCTTGCACTCTGGATCCACCTCAACCCCTCAAAACAACATCTTGGTGAAACAAAAAAAACAATGCTTGGTTTCATCCCTCCTCCATTTTGGGGATAAATCGCCATGATTCATTGAATCCCAATTGGCTGAATATGGCAGGTCTATGTAATCCCAAGTTTTCTCCATGTTGACATGTCAAACCCCCATTTTGACTCCCGATTTTGAGTCAAATCCCTATTTTGACAGCTGGAAATGTTACGATTTTTTGGTGTTGCGTAAATCCATGGGGACCACGGTCCCAGCGTCGTTTTGACCGCCAGGTGATTCAGCATCGCGAAGGTGGCCAGCTGCTCGCCTTTGGCGGCTCCATCGAGGCGCTGGAAGAAGGCATCCACCTGGGGGCCATGGATCTGTTGGAGGTGAATCCGTTGTATATGGATATACAAATGTACACATTATAATTCATAGATACAAAAACGTTGCTAATAAACAACTATAAATAAACTATATATATATTGTATGTGTATATATGCACATATATATATATATATCATATGAGATGTTATATATATATTGTAGTTGTTTATAGCAACATGTTTATATCTATAGATTGATAAGTGACTACTTAACACCTGTTTGATCATATGTTACTATATCATTCTATACCTCTAAATGTTGCTGTATCTTGATGTGTTGATATACCATCTATGAATGGCTTCATTGAGCTTTTTTAATTGTTGCCACGTGTTGCGAGTTTTAAACAATGGGATGAACATTGGAAGGAGCCTCAAACCATCTCAAACCTGGGCCCTGTGACTTGGAGTCTTTATTGCCATCAAATCAAGGGTTAAACATCAAACCTTCAAAATAGGTTGACATGATTGACATCATTGACATCATCTATGTATATTCATAGGATGTTCGAAAAAATCTGGAGCTCCCAAATGAGTGGAATTCCATGGAATTCCACATATTTCAAGAATTGGCAGGATAAGACCCATCATTTCGTTTTCTAGTTTCTTGATCCAGTTGGGAATAACCCAAATGGGCCCTCCATGATCCAGGTGATACTCTGCCAAGCTGGTTTCCAAGAGCATCTCAGGGAACCTTGGGTCTCACCTTTCAGGCCACACTTTTTTCTCAACCCGACCTCTTCGATCTCATTCAGTAGGGTGTCCAAAAAAGATCCCGAGTGTGGACTTCGTAGCATCTGTTTCCTTGGTTGATGCTGGCCTGCGTATGTGCCAACCCCTGCTCGGAAGGGAATCCCCGAATTCTGACGCCTTGACATTTCTCAACCCCGAATGTTGGTAAAGCAATGTCATAAACCCATATTTTCATGGTTTGACCCATCAACATGGTGATGACTTGTTACTATACAACATGATTATAATATGACATATGATGTTTTTCCATGTTTTTCCAAGCATCAGCACATCATAGGCAATGTATCGCCACTCTGGGTGACGGTGCACTGCAAAGACATGCTCGAAACGCAGCGCCATGGCAACCCCATCGACACGTCTGCAGCTCCACACGGTGAGCCGAGATGGTCAAGAAACATTGCTGTACCTCATCACAAGCTGATATAGTATATATATAATATAATGTATATTATAATACAAGTATAAACATATACATATCTATACATATCAATACATATCATATACTTTTTTTGGCATGTTCAAAAGTGGGGACTTTTGGAGTGGTTTAGTTGATGGTTGTCTTCGAAGGGGAAACAACCGTGGTTGGGTCCCTCCATTGCTGGGCAGTGCATATTTCCAGCATTTTCCATCAGCCCCAAGCAGTAAGTAGAATGCCAATCTACCCTGACACATCGCAGAAACTGTCGGAAATACCAGCAGATTCAAGAAATGACCAATCGATGTTTGTGGCTTTACCTCTGTACATTGCAACCATTTCAGATCTTTCAAATCAGGATGATAGGATGATAGATTGGATCCTTGAGAGTAACATCTAGAGTGACATCTCGATTCAGCGAAGGCCTCATCAAGGTCGGCCACCTCCAAGACTTTTGTGCTAAAGAGATCTGGCGAGTGCTGAAAGGTCAACTCCTCTGCCCTTTCGGGAATTTCCGGTAGACAGATGTGATATGATGTGATATGCACCAAATTATAAAAAGAAATCTATCAACATCATTAAACAATGATATTGATATTAGAATGATGGTCTATTTTTTCGAGCTAGCTCAAAACATGTAGCTGACTCAATTTCATCAGGGGTATGTCTTTGACAGTCACCTTGGGCTTTTTCAGAGGTACCATATCTAGTACTAAACTAATCAGTGGGGACAGAACCTGGCAATTTAACACATTGGGAAGTTTCTGCGAGCTCGCTCAACTGCAACGAGCTGGCTCAGCACCATCGAGCTAGCTCAAACACATCGCTCTAGCTCAGAGACATCGAGTTAGCTCAATGGCATCGAGCTGGCTCAATTTTTTAGCCCAAAAAAAAAAATTGAGCCAGCTACGTCACGTTGAGCTGGCGGACGAATGTGAGAGCATCAAAACGAATACTATGTATTGGCCGGGTTGATGACGGGCCATCGAGCCGGCTCAAGAGCATGTAGCCGGCTCAATTTTTGCGGAGTTGTTTTTTTCCGCTAAAAAAATTGAGCCAGCTACGAGGCGCTGAGCCAGCTACGAGGCGGTGAGCCAGCTACCAAGCATTGAGCCAGGTACGTGGCACTGAGCCAGCTACGTGGCACTGAGCCAGCAAGGTAGCTTTGAGTTAGCAAGGAGGCAGTGAGCCCAGTGAGCCAGCAAGGTAGCTTTGAGCTTCATCATATATATACCTATGCAATCCCAACCATATCCGCCGACCCCGGCCTTCGCCAAGGCCGGGGCGGCGCCTGGGACCACCGCAGGTGTGGAACTTTTCCTTCTTAGCTTTCCAAGGTCAAACCACATCGCGTAAACCTTCTCCTGGCATGCGTCATCCTCCAGTTCAGATTTCCAGGCATTTGGACATGAAAATTATATGCTTTGGGCAAGTAAGTTTTCCTGCGAAAAATTTGGTCTTTCAAGGCCAAAGCAGCCGTTCCCGCATTCCCGTAGTAGCGGTTCAAGTCATCGACCTGATGAAGACGGCGGGGCCCGTCCTTTGCCTTCCGTGCGGGCACCAAACACGCGAAGGCGCCTGCGCCGGCTTCACCTGTGCAACGCCTTCCGCGCGGGCTTTAAATGTGCGCGGCAGCTTCCACCAAGTTCCTGGCCGTCAGCGTTCCAGCATTGCAGCCTGCCCTTTGCCTGCACATAGCCCTGTCTTGTTAGGGCATTCGAGCCTGCCGTTTGCCAGCCTTCAAACGCTTAAAACCCCTAAAACCCCTAAAACCCTCCACCGGAGGTGTGGAACCGCGCCACCTGCCACCACCCTTACAATCCTCCAACTGCTGCATGGCTTCCTCGCGGCAGCTGCCACCAAGCCCTCTGGCCGTCAGCCTTTGCTGCTCCAGGGTTGCAGCCTACCCTTTGCCTGCACCGTCAGCGTTCCAGCATTGCAGCCTGCCCTTTGCCTGCACATAGCCCTCTCTTGTTATGGCATTCGAGCCTGCCGTTTGCCAGCCTTCAAACGCTTAAAACCCCTAAAACCCCTAAAACCCTCCACCGGAGGTGTGGAACCGCGCCACCTGCCACCACCCTTACAATCCTCCAACTGCTGCATGGCTTCCTCGCGGCTGCCACCAAGCCCTCTGGCCGTCAGCCTTTGCTGCTCCAGGGTTGCAGCCTGCCCTTTGCCTGCACATCGTTTGCCAAGCTTTACACCCTTAAAACCCCTAAAACCATCCCTCGCGGCAGCTTCCACCAAGTTCCTGGCCGTCAGCGTTCCAGCATTGCAGCCTGCCCTTTGCCTGCACATAGCCTTGTCTTGTTAGGGCATTCGAGCCTGCCGTTTGCCAGCCTTCAAACGCTTAAAACCCCTAAAACCCCTAAAACCCTCCACCGGAGGGTGTGGAACCGCGCCACCTGCCACCACCCTTACAATCCTCCAACTGCTGCATGGCTTCCTCGCGGCAGCTGCCACCAAGCCCTCTGGCCGTCAGCCTTTGCTGCTCCAGGGTTGCAGCCTGCCCTTTGCCTGCACCGTCAGCGTTCCAGCATTGCAGCCTGCCCTTTGCCTGCACATAGCCCTCTCTTGTTATAGGGCATTCGAGCCTGCCGTTCTCCTGGCATGCGTCACCCTCCAGTTCAGATTTCCAAGCATTTGGACATGAAAATTATATGCTTTGGGCAAGTAAGTTTTCCTGCGGAAAATTTGGTCTTTCAAGGCCAAAGCAGCCGTTCCCGCATTCCCGTAGTAGCGGTTCAAGTCATCGACCTGATGAAGACGGCGGGGCCCGTCCTTTGCCTTCCGTGCGGGCACCAAACACGCGAAGGCGCCTGCGCCGGCTTCACGTGTGCAAGGCCTTCCGCGCGGGCTTTAAATGTGCGCGGCAGCTTCCACCAAGTTCCTGGCCGTCAGCGTTCCAGCATTGCAGCCTGCCCTTTGCCTGCACATAGCCTTGTCTTGTTAGGGCATTCGAGCCTGCCGTTTGCCAGCCTTCAAACGCTTAAAACCCCTAAAAACCCTAAAACCCTCCACCGGAGGTGTGGAACCGCGCCACCTGCCACCACCCTTACAATCCTCCAACTGCTGCATGGCTTCCTCGCGGCAGCTGCCACCAAGCCCTCTGGCCGTCAGCCTTTGCTGCTCCAGGGTTGCAGCCTGCCCTTTGCCTGCACATCGTTTGCCAAGCTTTCAACCCTTAAAACCCCTAGTTCCTGGCCGTCAGCGTTCCAGCATTGCAGCCTGCCCTTTGCCTGCACATAGCCCTGTCTTGTTATGGCATTCGAGTCTGCCGTTTGCCAGCCTTCAAACGCTTAAAACCTCTAAAACCCCTAAAACCCTCCACCGGAGGTGTGGAACCGCGCCACCTGCCACCACCCTTACAATCCTCCAACTGCTGCATGGCTTCCTCGCGGCAGCTGCCACCAAGCCCTCTGGCCGTCAGCCACTGCTGCTCCAGGGTTGCAGCCTGCCCTTTGCCTGCACCGTCAGCGTTCCAGCATTGCAGCCTGCCCTTTGCCTGCACATAGCCCTCTCTTGTTAGGGCATTCGAGCCTGCCGTTTGCCAGCCTTCAAACGCTTAAAACCCCTAGAACTCCTAAAACCCCTAAAGCCCTCCACCGGAGGTGTGGAACCTGCTTTGTCATAGCCCTCTGTTATTGAGGCATTCAAGCTTGCCGTTACCAGGCTTCAAACGTTTCAAACTCTTACAACCCTCCAAATCCCTCGCGCCACCTGCCACCACCCTTACAATCCTCCAACTGCTGCATGGCTTCCTCTACTTCTATATACTGCCACCACCCTTACAATCCTCAACTCGAGCTCCCACCGGTCTGTTTCGTGTAGGTCTTGAAAGTCTTTACTTCTCCTGTGGTTTTATTTACTGATCCTGCCCTGCCACCCCCACAAAGGGGGGGTCGGCGGCACAGGGCGCTAGCCCATTCTATAATATACTAAATCTAGGGCAAAACAACTTTTTTTGAGGGAGACACGTACCTTTGAGCTGGAGCGGGAATGTGAATAACATTCGAGATATGCAATGACATGAATATTGATCTGGTGATGCATGATTCCTGCACCCCAATAGAGCATCATCAATGAACCAGCGCTGCAGCGCAGGGGCCTTTCCAAAGGGCCCGCTCGAAAAAGACTCCAAACGCTGTTACAGTTGACGATTCCAAAATGAAATGCCATTGTAATGATGCCTTCAAGTCCTATATATAAATCCCATGAAATCCTATATATATATATATATGTATATATTATAAACCCCTTGAAAAAACAATGGGTAATGTGGGACCCAATGTCATCTGCGTCATCCCCAAGTCATCACCATTTTTATGGATGGTATGCTTACCATCCAGGCCTGTCCAGCGGCAGTTGCATCCTGGCAGGGCCTGCCAATCGAGTACGAATTGCCGTTCCAGATGATCTGCCAACATTTGCCTGGCGTTGTTGGGTTCCGAACGAGATTCTTAGCTCGTGGATGTTGAGAATCATCTATTGTGTATATATACATATACTCAACCAAGGTTTAGTTTTGGCTAAGTATACCGATTCTCAGCTCATCGAGTTTTCTCAGCTGGTAGTTGGTTTAGCAGCCACTGCTCATTTAGCACTAGTCAGTTGGTTGACTATGATAGCTCCCAGCAGTATAACCATGGACAGTACTACCCGACATAAAAACATCAGCCAATAGAGGTCAACTGGGCATTGAGTTCGCTTAAGCATCAATTTCAATCATTGCTTAGTCAATTTGCCCCAGACCATTTATATAAATCACTTTAATGTTAACCCAACGGGTTAAACGTTTTAAAAGATATACTTAAAAATAAAAATAAATACATGGGTCGTATAAACCATCCACAAATGGTAGCTTTATGGCAGCCAGGATTGTCCACATTAGTCAACATCTGCCGCAACCCTGCAACCTCTACCCGCAGCTCACCCTGCAACGACTGATCGGAGCCGATTGCAAAGACCCCATTGTGGTTGAACCAGCACCCATCCGGGTGAGCAAAAGTCCTGGCGAACGTCTCGAAACGCAGCCCGCACGTCCAAAAAACGCAAGAAAAAACATCCGTCAATATGCATCATCTACCAATATCATTCAGCATGAATGTATGAATACAATGTGGATATCTACAATAAATGTGTATGTATGACAATACGTATGTGCATATATGTATACATATACAAATATATATATATATACATACCTAAAATATTGTAAATCAAAAAATGTATATATATATATATATGTGTATATATATATGTGTGTGTATATATATATATACAATATATATATACAATATATATATGTATATACATATTTCTATATGAATGCAATATATATATGTACATATAAATGTGTATGTGTGTATGTATGTGTGTATGTATGTTATGTAATGTAATGTAATGTAATGTGATGTGATGTGATGTGATGTAATGGTATGTTATGGTATGTATATGTATATCTATGTGTATATGTATGTGTAAATGTAAATATACATGTATGTAAATAGAAATGTGTATATATATATAAATGTATATGTATAAATATGTATATACATGTATGTATACATGCATATGTATATGTATATACATATATCTATATTTACATATATATATATATGTAACATTTTCTGTAAATACATTTATATTTTTCTACATTTATATGAATGAATGAATGTAAATATATAAATATATATGTATATACAGTTTTAAGTAAATATTTAAATATATATGTATGTTTATATGTATATGTATATGTATTTAAATATATATTAATAAATCTATGTATACATATATATATATCTATGTAACATTTTCTGTAAATATATATATATATTTCTATATTTATATGAATGAATGAATGAATGAATGAATGAATGAATGAATGAATGAATGAATGAATGAACGAACGAGCGAGCGAGCGAGCGAACGAATGAATGAATGAATGTACATATATAAATATATGTGTATATATGTTTTATGTATATATTTATATATCTATATTTTTATATATATGTAAATATATTTATATATGTATGTAAATAAATATATATATATATATGTAAATATGTATATATATATGTATGTAAATATAAATATATATATGTATGTAAATTTAAATATATATATATATGTATGTATGTATGTATATGTATATGTATATGTATATGTTTATGTATATGTACATGTTTACACATACATATATTACATATATATGTATATACATACGTATATTACATTCATAGGTATAATATGTATCGGGATCGGATAGTATCGTTAAAAGCTCCCAGCACGAGCCGTCCATTCCACAACAGTTGAACATATTAGGGGGCTAGTGAAACGATGACAACTTCTGTGAAAATTGGACACTTTCTGCGAAACGTGGACAACTGCTTGGAAATGTGGACAACTTGTATGATTTTGATGACAAGTTCTGAAACACTGCATTACTCTCTTGCATTACTCTCTCTAACGCCTCTGGAGGGCAGGTTCGGAACGATATTGGGAAAAACCAGGGTTTTTATCACAAACCTAGGGGTTCTATATGAATCACGTGTAAACCCAGGGTTTCAACTCATACACTACAAATTTCCAGGGCTTAGAAGTTTAGGGTATATATATATATATACATATATTTAGTATGGATTCCTATCGTTATGTCATACATGGTTCTTTCCCCAAGCTGCACAATGTATGTGAGGAAAAAAGGGAACCAAATACCGAAGAAGGAGGCTGCACCTGTACCGATCAAACGAAGCTTGCATCTTTTTAGTGATAAGAAGAATCAAGAACCAAAAATTGTTGGAAAGAAAAACGTCTGTTGGTTAAAATGTCAGCAACAGCCTATAATTAGAGATCAAGATAATAAAGATCATCTTTTGCATTACAGTACTATATCGTGTCGAATTAAATAAAGTAAATCCTGAATTATACAAAACATATGCATAACGTTATATTGTATTACGTTACATTATATCATAGTACATCATCTTATATCTTATGTTATACAAAATAAATGCATCTTCTGATATCGTATTAGGTTACAGTGTATCACAGTACATCATCTTTCGGTATGTTGCATTACAGGCATTATTGTTTTACATCACATCATGTGATCTTTGTATATCTTTGTATCATATAATATATCACTTCAAATCATATCAGATTATATCGTATCATATCGTATCATATCGTACCATATCGTATCACTTCATAGCATGTCATACTACACAAGAAAAATCGGCGTGCAAGTGCTAACTACCACGTCCCTTTCAACTAGTTCTCGTCCTCCTCAAGCATCTGGCTGTTGCCCCATGGCTTCGTAGTGACCCAGAAATCTGGTCACTAAGCCCAGCTGGCAGCTGCTGTCTTGGATCTCACTTTTTCTCAGTAACTAGTCTCATGTCTGACTCATGGTGACTGTCATTGAAGCTGGTGGCAGGCGATGATTTGTGGCAAAGACACCGTGCTCCAATTGGATCTCAATCAAGTCCTGTCTCTACTACTTCATGTCTATCAGCCTGGGTATGAGCAACAAAATCAGTTGCTTTCACCATTTGGGGATGGTCAACGATGGTTTTAACAAATCCAAACCATCTATGGACATATTCAGCCATCCATGTTTATAATGTTGACCTATGCCCATCTGGCGTCCAGCCTGCATGATGGCATCCAGCAAAGCTGGGCGAGCCACCTGCAAATGCTGCTGTTCTCTGCTATTGTTGTTGGGGAAATCAATCCAAAAAATGGGATAGAACCAACCATAATGGGATATACTAGGCATATATATATATATATATATGAGAATTTCATTCCAGGTTCCTTCCACGTGACATTAGGATCAGATGCGCCCCTAGGGTTGGTAGAAAGAACCCGGTTGTCTGCAATTTCATGGCAGCCGGAGCCCGGTTCTGGCAGTAGCTTGACGGCGAGTGCCAGGGTGAAGATCCAGGTGAATATCAACGAGGTTGGGAAGTTCATTGAGAATACTGCGAAATGGATCAGAGAGGAATAGAGGTTCCTAGCTATGATGGTGCACCAGAGGGCCTTGCGGCCTACAAAGAGGCAGTCCTTCAATACCTGATGGCCACAGAAACCCACAAGCGCTACTTGGTGGGCCCCAGATTAGTCCAGAGACTGTCTGGCGTTGCCAAGGCGCTGATTCGGACTCAAACCCTTAGCACCCTAGGGGCGCTTGCACACTGCTGGGGTTCCTGGAAGAGACCTTGGAGCGACCTTCACTGATAGAGGCAAACAAGCATGTCATGGCCTTCTTCTACCAGCTTGAGAGGAAGAAAGGTGAGACGATGACGGAGTGGATTGCCTCACGAGCTCTCCAACGTGTCCAAAGGGAACATGGGCAACTGGAAGTGCCTAGTGAAAAAGACTGGAAGGACTCTAGGTCCAGCTACTGTAGAACAAGTGAAAGAAACCCAGGAGGTCAGGAAGTGCCTTTCCGTGATGATGGCCTACTAGATGAAGAGGAAGATGAACAGACCAACGATGATTCCGAACAACCTGCATGGAGATGGAACAAGTCTTCACGGAGCTGGGGTGAATCATGGGGAGATTGGTCTTGGAGATCTCCAGAATATGAGCCACAAAGACATGGAGTTTTGATGAGAAGCCCTTCATTTCCGAGTTCCTGGCAGGATTCCTGCTTATAGACCGTAGTGGACTGGAGCCCAGTGAAAGATCAAATATTCTGGGCAGCATCAAAGGCCAGTTCACCACTCAGGCCATTGCCCGTGCGCTCCGCGAACAGTGGGGCGATGGTGATGTGGCCAAGCGTGACAAAGCGAAGGCAGCAGCTGCCTACATCCTTGAAGAGGACGACGAGGATGCCCTCTACAACAATGTGGATGAGCATGGGTTCTCTCAATGGGGTCCTGAACAACAAGAGGCCTACTACCTGGAGATGGCCGCCCTTCCAAGGGAGACATCAAGTGCCTTCGGTGTGGAGGACCGCGCTACCAGGACAAATGTCCTCAGAAATTCAAAGAGAAAAGTGCGCAGATCGCAGATGAAGAGTCAGCTGAGATTGCCTTCGCAGCTTCTGAGTCTGCAGGCCAAGCAGACTGTATGGAGCCCAATGCCAACAAATTGGAAAAGTTTCAGTAAGGCATCATCGATTCTGGAGCGACAGCATCGTTAGGTAGTGTCGATGCACTCGAGGAGCTGATGATAGCCAACATTCATGCCTGTGGGGACAGCAAGATGCAGGTCAACACGTCCAAGCGACCCACCTTCAAGTTTGCCAACGGCATGCGAAAAGAGTGTCTGAGCACAATCAACCTTTCCGCCGGTGCCTGTGAGAAGCGTGGGAACATGGAAATTCATGTCCATGACTCACCAGGACAACCTGTCCTGATCTCACGAAAAGCTCTGGCAGCCTTGGGTGCCGTGGTGGACTTCAGCGAGAACAAAGTCATCTACAAGGCCGTGAACCCCAATGTGGTCTTGACGCTGAAGCAAGCTGGGAATGGTCACTTGTTGATGTTGACCGGCAACATTTTAGATGGTGGTCACAAACGTGCCACACCTTTTTCCAGCCTAGATGAATAGGGACAACTCTCCTCTGAGCACATGGAGAAAACAGCTCAGGGGAGTCCGAACTCAACATTGCAATGTGCAAGTAAGTAAGTAAGTAAGTAAGTAAGTAAGTAAGTAAGTAAGTAAGTAAGTAAGTAAGTAAGTAAGTAAGTAAGTAAGTAAGTTCTAGGCATTTGTCAATTTTGTGAACTTCAATCTGTACAGCACGATTTTTGCATGTCTTGTCATGAAACCCAGATCCCGCATGAGGACAAGACACACAAACCACACGTGTGCACACAGCACTCTCAGGATCGAGATCGTAGTTCCCAGCCTGCTACCAACACAGGTGGTCATGGCCATGTCTCAGTGCAAGAGCAAGGCCGACTGGAAGGACAAGTTGGAGGAGGCCGGCCTGCTGGTTCCCAAGGATGCAACCCTCCAATACATGAAGATGATTTGGGCCGAAGCTCAACAAGAACTCAAAGCCAAGAACTTAGAGGGCACCTTGGAGTCCGAGATCAAGGCACTCCGTGCTGCGGGCCGCAAAAAGTCAGTTCTGTTGGACTTCATGAAAGACAAGGGCAGGAAATCAGAGGCAACATGGGAGGACATGAAGAAGGTATTAGAAGAGAACTGGCTTTCTATTTTTGGCGCCCCAAAGGTCATGAAGGTAGATCCAGCTGGCCCGTGGATGTCTCAGGCAGCCACTGACTACATGGACGAGCGGAACATTGAGTACATCAGTATTCCTGCCGAGGCACACTGGACCATCGGAATAGTAGAAAGTACCATCAAAACCTTCAAGGGCATCCTCACCAAACTCATGGGGGAGTTTCCCAATCGTAGTGTTGATGAACTTGTGGCAAGAGCAATATGGACTGGCAACGACATGGACATGATTGATGGATACACCTCCGCACAACGAGTTTTTGGTAGGGCACCTGATGATTTTGGGCGGTTCTTCAAAGACCAAACGGAAATACCACTTCATCCTTCTCTAGTAGCTGATGGAAGTTTTAAGGAGATTCAGATGTTAGGCGAGTAGCAGAACAAACCTTTATTGAAGAACAAGCAAAGAGAAGAATTGAACGAGCTTAACGCTGGTCACCGTAGAGCTGAGGTTTTCTTCCTGGTGATTTGGTCTATATTTGGAGAAATCAGGTCCCCAAACGAGAGCGCACCACACAAAAGTCAGGACGATTCATAGGTCCAGCCAAGGTCCTGGCAACAGAAACACGACGTGAACCTGATGGTCAATTGCGTCCTGGTCATGTGGCATGGGTATACAAAGGGGTGTAGACTTTTCAAAACTGTTCCTGAACAACTTTGGAAAGCTTCACCTAACTTATGAGCACATGGTAGAAGAACTTCATGGACCCATAGACCTTCCTTGGACTATTACAGCATTGGCTTCCAATCAGAACAAAGCAGTTTTTCAGGATCTCTCTCAAGAAAGACCATCTGATGCACAGTGGGAAGAGGCACCGACAGAAGAAGAAGAGGAGAGAGGAGTGATGCTTAGAAGAAGGTCAAAAGGTCCTGAAATTAGAGGCCAGAAAAGAGAGGTGGCTTCAGCTCAAAAACCCAGTGAACCATTTTCATCCGCCCGCGGCAGCAAGGAACGCAAGCGGGAGAACCTGGCCAGAGAACCCTGCCCCTTCTTTGCGGCAGAGGAGAACCGGAAAGGTGTGGAGATTGAGTGGGCGTTACCAACATCAAGGAGAGGCATCAAAAAGTTTATCAACAATCCGGAAGCCTATGTTTGTACTCAACTCAAGCGAAAAACAAGTAGAAGTTCGAGAAAAACAACTTACTCCATCAGAGGCCCTTGAGTTTCACAAGGCCAAGGAGACAGAGGTGAAGAATTTCATTGCTTCAGGATGTTTTGTTGGCCAAGGATGTGGTTCCTGATGAGCGTCGTATTGCGGGTACGAGGTGGCTTTTAACATGGAAACATGGCGAGTCTTTTGAGGGAGGCAAGAAGGCCAAAGCACGATATTATTTTGGGCTACCAAGATCCAGAACATGAAAACGTACAGGACAACATCCGCACCGACACCCAGCCGCTCAGGTAGACAGCTGTTCTGGCAACTTTGCAGCTGGAAACGCTTTCGGCTGAAGAAGGGCGACATATCGGGAGCCTTCCTTCAAGGCGATGACATGGAGGAGGAATTGTGGTGTCGTCCCGTGAAGGAGATCACAGTTGCGTTAGGACTCCCAGAACACACTCCAATGTTGATGTGTAAAGCTGCTTATGGACTTGTTCAAGCACCCCTTCAATGGTTTTATACTATCAACAACTTCCTGGGCAACTTGGGTTACAAACAACTTCAAACTGAACCGTGTTGCTGGGTTTGGGTGGACGCGGAAGGACAGGTGAGATCCATTGTCCACTCACATGTCGACGATCTGATGTTTGGAGGCCAGGAGGATGATAGTATTCACCATGGTCTTCTTGAACAATTACAAGCACGATTTAAATGGGGTAGCTGGGAGGATAGATGTTTTGTACAATGTGGCATTGAGGTAGTTCAAAATGGAGTACTCCATTGACCTCAAGCAAAGTAACTTCATCAACGACATTGAAAAGATTTATCTTTCCAGAGACCGCAGTCGCCAAACAGGACAGCCAGTGACAGAAACAGAAAAAACCAAACTACGAGGAGCTCTTGGCAGTCTGGCTTGGGTATGTGGTCAAACATGTTTCCCCTATGCGGTTGACACAAATTTTCTGGTCACAACCATTCCTGTTGCAACAGTAGAAGGTATTCTTCATGCCAACAAGGTTATTCGAGAAGTCAAAAAGCTGAAAGATGTCGCATATCGTATTCACAACTTTCCGGAACATGAAGAGCTGGAATTGTTTTGTTGGGCCGATGCAGCGTGAGCCAATAGGCCAACTGGTACCGATTCCACGGAGGGCATCTTTGTTGGCATGTCCACTTCTCGTTTACGACATGGTTTTGAAGAAAATGTATCTCCTATTCATTGGCGTAGTGGGAAGATAGAACGCACATGCCGATCTCCTGCATGTGCTGAGGTGATGGGCTGTCTGGACGTTGAAGATGAACTCACATTTCTACGGCTTCTATGGACTGACATGCAAGGGTACACCATCAGCACCAGAAAGATCGATGAGTCCATCCAATATACCAAGGGCATGTTAATCACAGATGCACGCAACCTCTTTGACAAACTGATACGACCAACAGCATCAGTCAAAGGCGCAGAAAAACGGTCTTCAATAGAAGCTCTTAGTCTTCGCAAAAATCTTGAGAGAGGAACAGCCGACATCCACTGGGTAAACTCAGGAGCAATAATAGCTAATTCTCTGACAAAGACAAAAAGAGAAGGTCAGCTCATGTTGTGCCTGGCCTCAGGATTTTGATGAAAGATCGTCTTCGACGAGAACTTTGTCTCCGAAAGAAAGAGGAAGCAAGCAGGCTGTGATCTTTTGAAACCATGCGCGCACAAACACACAAAACAAGGAGAAGGCAGGATCTGGGATTCCATGTCAGTTCCAGGAAAGTGAAAACCACTTTCATTTAATTTATAAAGGGGGACCACGTGACATTAGGATCAGATGCGCCCCTAGGGTTGGTAGAAAGAATCCGGTTGTCTGCAATTTCATATATTTATATATATATATATATATTGTCCTATGTTGTATATAAACATAACTAATGCATGTAATATAGTGTGTATTTATAACGAACAATGTGACATGATACATTGGGTTTGTCCAAAAATACGAAAAGCAAAGGATGCCCCCAGATTGCTTGCAATTGTCATGGGGAAAATGCTGTTTTAAACCATTGGAGCTAATCCATAATATAAGCTCATGCTTGAAAGGTGATATCCTATGATATCCCTCATAATATATCCTTGTATCCGATCCAAGATGCAAACCAAAAAAACGAACAAACTATATACATTTATATACCAGTAAATGTTCGTCAAAGGACACAGGCATGTTCGTTTGATGGCCCTTAACGGACCAAAGCTTTTCTTATGCCAAACTTCATTGGAAACACCACCCCGAACTGGGATGATCTATAGCGAAAAAATGGTGATCCCATTTTTCTGGGCTATCTCTGGATCCGCCATGAAAGAACACAACTCTCCATTGCGGATTCTTTGCATGGCAAGTGTTAACTTTAAATGCCTGGGGCAGTTATTTTCACTGGAGCCATAGAGGTTGAGGATCCCACTTTCTAGACCTCGAAATACAGAGTATGGTGTTCGATTCTCTTAGATCAAAATCCTGGTACCGTTGGTTCACCCCCCATGCTGCTGAGTCCTCCCCGATTTTCTCATGGTCCGATCGCCAAAATCCGAAGAGTTCATCTCAATGGTCGATGGTTGAATCATGTCAAATCCCTATTTTCAGGGGTTTTCCAAATCCTAAGCTCTACGGTTTCGTGCCAAGCTCTATGAGTGTACTCGTGAAATTCCGATTTTTGAGGTACCCTCTGATAAACTAACTTAATCTAACTTAGATATTGAAAAATGACCCATCTTTGGTTGGTTTACCTATTGAAAGTGGTGATTTCCAAATCCTATCATTTCGCCATCGGCCCAAGGACCCCTCCTCGGCCCTCGACGCTGGCGCTGGCGCTGGCCGCTCTGCCACTTTGAGGGCCCCAGCCTTGCCGAGTTCCTCCATGACTCGCACCTCCGGTGACAAATCCTCGGTGGAACGAAGACTAAACGAACCAGTGGATGTAGTGTATATATCATTATTGGTTACACATCATTATCCAATGATCCCAAATGGAATCATATTTATTCTATGTTTTTTCTGGGTTAACTACCCAAATACATAATATATATTACAACTATTGATCACTATTGATATTGCACACATATGGACATTCATGATTCATGCTTGACTAATTATGGCAATTGCAAATGATTATAGGACTAATCTTAGCTGGGTGCCTCTCTTGGGGTGCAACTAATGGCTTGTCATACAGTACCCACTAATTCATAATCCAATGACCATGGGTAAGAAATGATCAGGTGCAAGTGAAAAAAGGCTGGTTGAATCCCAGTGGCAGGATCTGTATCTTTGTCCAGATCTGGGATATGCCCGTGAAGTTTCAGCTGTTCGTAGAGTCTGCTCTTTAAATAACTCTTGGACATCAGCCGAGTGTAGGCTTGGATGGACCTGGGCCAGGGTAGATGCTGAGATTCCCCGGAGACTCCGCCAGAATTCCGGACAAGCTCATCTTCCAAACGCTTGCCCGGTCCGTGGGACATGGGACATGGGACACTAGATTCATGGGCCCTTTGCCTCAAAAGCTGCGAATCCCAGAATCCAATATGGTTTCTGAATGTTTCTGAAGGCAGTCAACCCGTACCTCAAAATCGAATGGTTTCCAACATGACCGGTTCTGCCATCCCTGGGACCTGAAATTTGGAGGCCCAGAAACCATGGTTTGGAGATCACCAAAGGCAGAGGTCTCACACCCCCTTGATCTTCGTATCTCATAAAGTCAAAGAATCCTGCAGTTGCAGTGCTGAAAGGGCCTCAAACAATCATCAAACATAATTGTCACAATTGAGACATTGGTCAAAAACTGTCTCCTTGGGTAAGCTAAGCGGACAATCACCTATCTATACCATATACATATTATAATATGGTTACAAAAACAACATTGTGGTTCTTTTCCATGAAATACTTCACTTTTGAATGCATAAAACACTGGTACCCTATGGTACCCTGGTATTCACATCAAAATAGCTTCGAGTTCTGGATCTCCATCCATCTAGTCAAAATATGGTATCACCGTATTCATTGGCTTTTGACCCCATTATTTCTGGGTTCGCCCCTTCTCCTCTTATTTTGTGTCGCCAAAAATGGGATGGGTGCAGTACTAAGAATGACTGGTTGTCTTCCAAACATGCCTTCTCCTGCACCGTATTACCTCCATTTATGGCTATGTTGCGAGGGGAAATTAGGTTTCAAACCATTGTCTGTGTTCCCAAGAAACTTTGGCTGTTCCCATGATTTTCAGACAAAGAAATTGATGATAATTGATGTGTCTACAATCTTCAGACAAGAATGATGATCAACCAATGCTTTGCACGTACTTTCCCACACTTTCAAGAGACCAAGAACCTTCATCCTCCATCCCCGGATCCCCTCTCCTGGTCGCAGGCTTTTCTCTACCTGTTCCGCCAAGAAGGCACGGGAGAAATGGCCGTACTGACGGGTATAGTCCAGCATGAAGGGGACCGAAATCGTGGCATAACCTCGGCGATTGCGGTGCAGCTCCAGACATACCAGTGGCATTTTTCTTGGATTCTTACTGGATTGTGGCTCTTTTATGTTCTTTTAATGTTATTTTTGGTTTTTTGGGGGTGATTATAAATGGATCATTCATGGGATTGATGAGATATTCATGGACTATGGTCGTCTTTTTGGGCGGGAAGAGTCGGCCAAAATAGATTATTAGTGGGATTCAAAATTGGATTAAATCATCTATTCATGGAATATTTATGGGATTAGTGGAATATTCATGTCATATGTCCTTCAAAGGGTATAATGCAGATATTAACGTTGGATATTCACAGGATTCAAAGGGCTGTAAAGGGAGATAAAATGGACACGTCAAAAGGATTCAAATGGCATAATTTGAGTGTGATGTAGTGGGATGTTAATGGGATTATTAATGGAATTATACCATCCAACAAATGAACATTCTTGATCATGAAATTCATATCTTCAGAAGAAAGAAGGTGTGCAGCGAACGGTCCGGCCGGATGTTTATTTTCCATTCAGCAACGTTGGAAGTGTCGGACATAGATGAAAATACCAAGCCACATTGAGCACATTTCATTGATGCTACTTTCCTCAGCTACTTTCCTCATAGCTAGCTCCAATGTCAGCATCGTCCAAGAGGCATCGGGTAAAAAGAGCCAAGAGTTCAGGACCATGAGTTGACCCAAAAAGTTTCCCAGTACCACTCAGCAGTCTCCTTGGTGAAAAATGCCGGAAAATGCATCATCTGCGATGCAAGAAGGTGAATTTTCTCCCCATGGATTGCCAAAACACACCTCGGAAGAGGAAAAGTCATTCTCTCGCTTTGCTCTTAAGGTATCTTTGAATTTTACTCCCTCAAATAACTCAAAATCTGCGGCCTGTCGGCAGGTGCAACCTAACTGATCAGGAGCACCCAGGCTGCCATTGCTATCCCATGAACATGTGGCCGCTTTTCCAACCAAGCTTTCATCTCAACAGCTCTCGTCCATCCACTGGGAAACTGCAAAAACAGAAAATGATGATAAGAGAAATCTGGTTTATGACTGTGACTGGTTTAGGGTTTACCACATGACTGCACACTGAATTCTTGGACATGCCTCCATGTCAAAGCTATCAGCTTTGAGAAGGCCCTCAAACAGGCAAATGTCGCTGGTTTCTGATGTAAAGACAATGAAAAATGATAGTCTGAGGACACCAAATTTTCCATCCCCAACTGCCTCACCGCACTCCGGCCGTCTCCCAGCGTTGCAGCCAGCGTCTGGTATGCCAATTGTCCTGGTTTATCTCGAAACTTGGCCAAACCCGACGCGATCCTCACACAGACCTGGCGGGGAAAGTGATGGCAACTTGGGAGAGATGACTGGAGCTGGAGTATGATGTCATTTCTATATTTGATAGCCAAAGTAGATCTACTACATATCAGATATTACATGTTTTTGTATAAGTACATCAGCTTGTGGAATTCTCTTACATACTATATATATACATACACATACTAAATACTATTAAATACTACATACACATGATATTATACCATTCATCAGTAACATATATATATATAGTACCATTCTAAAACAAACTCATGAAATGTCGATTTTCCGATGAAAACTCCACCAAGCCCCCTTTATCCGGAATGCCTCAGCGGGTCGCCGTCTCACCAAGGTGTACATGAAGGCGCGATGAATTTCTTCCAAGGGAAGGGCGTCAACATCCAACACACGCACCTGGGAAGTCGGGGAATCACAAGTCTGGGATATGAAGGTTTCCAAAACCCATAGGTTTCAATACTAAAATGATCTAAAATGGTCCAATTTTGAATGATTTCATAGCTGTATATGATCATAACACCAAACCTGTGAATATACACTGTGATTACACAGAACTGGTGCTTCCTCTGGTCTACCTATCAAGAACGAGAGGCTCAGAGGAGTTGTATATTATGTTTAGCTGACCCATCCCCAACTGACTGTGTTCCATCAAGTTCTGACCCGTTTCCGATCTTCAGAGTCAGAGGGTCGAAAAGGAAAAAACCAGGCACCCGAATTGGCTCCTCCTCGTTGAATTCGAACTGGCCAGCGCGCTTCGTTCGGCTCCGCCCCTGGGTTGACTTCATCCCAATTGGCTATGGGCAATGCAACCACAGCACCCACTGGGTCATTCATCATATAATCCATCCAAATGACTATGTTCCATTAACCAACTGGGACCTTTTTATGTATTTAACCAACCATTTGGGCAGTTGATAGTATCATGTCATGTCATTTCCATATGGTTTTCCAGGCCAAACAGGGGCCAAGGCACCCTGCCGCGGCTTCCGCCTTCCAACCTTTCGTTCTTTTCAACTTCTGCCAAACGTTGCAACAAACCAACCTTGGATCTGCTTGCTGACTGATGGATCAACCACTTCAACGAATCGAAAAACGACCCAAAAAACATCAGATCTGCAGCTCAGGCAACAGGTGCGCGTTCGAGTCGAGCTTCTTCTGGACGTAGACGCTTTGGGCCACGCATAGAAATGCTCGGCATATCCTGTGGCGAAGCTTCAGACTGCTGGTTGAGCCAGTTGAGCCACCGGCAAAAAGATGAGTTTGGTCAAAATTGGGATCATCTGGGTGAAGAATAAATGACGCCACCAGGCACTAAAGAAGGAAAATTGGCTGTTTGCTTGGAGAATAGTGGCCAATAGTTAGACAAGAAAAGCCCAACCGCGTCAGCAGTTGCTCCAAAAATATCGTCTAAACCCATGTCACCCGGGGAGATCCAGACTTTTTTCGGATTACCCTCTGGTAAATAACCACTGGAAATGGGATATCCCGATTTTCCAGCCAGCTCTGAAAAATCTCCCTGTCCATGCTATCCATCCAGTTGAATACAGGTTGGTTGATAGGTATCCCCATATCGGACCAGAACAATCTCCTATGTTACACAGACGTATGTATGTATGTATGTATGTATGTATGTATATATATATAATATATATATATAACATTGACTACACCCAGTCGGGCAAGTCAGCGCACCGTCTGTTTGAAAACAAATCACAATGGGACGCTGCGCATTCAGGAAGTCACAGAAGTCAGTGCAAAATTATGCAAATCAGCATGGGACGCTGTGCGCCAGCAATCATCTATTTCGTTTAATGTTTGGTGCTTTTTATGGCTCTAAAATTAGGAATCATATTGTGGACGCTGCATCTATGCAGTCACTGTTTTAGGTTATTTTGAATGATTCTGTTGAAAAACACAATGGGACGCAAGTTTCACCACAACTACAGTCAAAGTGAAGCGACCAACCAAAAATACAGGTGCAACCCCTTGTGGCGCACGCAGCTTGGTAGTGGGAAGGTAAGCAGCAGCAACAGCAGCAGCAGGACCAGTAGAACCAGCAGCAGTAGCGGCAGCAGCAGCAGCAGCGACAAGACAAGACAAGGCAAGACGACTCACGTATTTCCGGCGATACCACGGCGATACCCTAAAATGGAAAAAAGGAACCCCTCGCCACCAATCCCCCTCATCATTTCAACACAACCACATCTCCAAATTTCAAAAGGGGAAAACCCAACACAATCCAATTCCCAATGGAACTGACACATTCCGAACCAGATTCAACACATCCAATTCCGAACCAAGAACTCAGGTAAAAATATCAATGTTCCAAACCATGTCTTCCAAAACACCAGCTGGACGCAGCACGCACCGACTTCCAGAAATCTTTCCCCCCAACTGAACGCAACAAAGCAAGTGAACGCATTGAGTTTCCAAATGGGGTGTAGTATAACCCCTATCATAGCTCCTCAACCATCATCTATAAATGTTATTCCCATATTTATTGATGGTTTTTCAACAGTTTGTTAAACAGCTAAAAACACCAACGAACTACGGCAAATAGTATTAAATAGTTCATGTTCGATGGTTCATGTTAGCCCTACAAATTCACCATATTATTCCGATTATTCACCACTGGATGGTTCATGTTAGCCCTACAAATTCACCATATTATTCACCACTGGATGGTTCATGTTAGCCCTATGAATTCACCATATTACTCACCACTGGATGGTTCATGTTAGCCCTATGAATTCACCATATTACTCACCACTGGATGGTTCATGTTAGCCCTATGACAATGAATTCACCATATTATTCATCATGGTCATGGTGCGCTCCCCCCATGGTCCTCCTCTACCTCCAAGGCATCACTCGGCAGAGGCTCGACCTCATCCAGCTCCACATGCTCCACATGGCGGTGGAAAATGGACGCCACGGGCTTCAAGCGTAGCGCCACCTTGGGAAGGGGATATGACTTGTGATATTCATGTGGTACATACGATATTATATGATATATATATATATAATTATATATATACATATATTATCACAATAACATACAATCATATAAAACCACCTGGGGATGGTTGACATCCAACCCCCCATCAGATATCTATGGAAATCTGCGCAATAACTATATTATAAATTAATATAGGAACAAAACAAACAACGACTGGCCCATCCCTTTCTTTTGCAAAGATGATCTAGCCACCCTGCTCTATGCCGTGCTCTGCGCCTGTTCGGCTGCAATATCTTCATAATTTACCAAGGGTTCATCCGCTTCAGCCTCCTCCGCCTCCTGAAAGCTCCACTTTTTTAATGTAGGGATGCTGTTGCTTATGGATAACACCAAGAATCCGAAGGTGATGCCAAGAATCCAACTCGGAATTCTCCGCAACACATTTCACCGAGATATCTCCAGTATGGTATGATGCAAAAAAGTCAAACGTACAATGTCCATCAATGTCCTACAAGACATTCATGATGCCAAACTTCCTCCCCATGGTGTATTTCAATGGATTTCACCCAGCCCTGCCGTGTCTCCACAGTGCTGGCTCCTCGAGCGTGGGCTCTCTGCCCAGACCATCCGTGCGGGGCGGTGCCAAGCGGCCCAGATTGCTTCTGACATCCGTCTCCCTGGCGGAGACCGCATGATTACAAGATGTCACAAGATGTCACAAGATGTCACAAGATGTCACAAGATGTCACAAGATGTCACAAGATCTGAATGTTTGCAGTACTCATATGTTTGTTCTAAAAGTATCTAAAAGTTCTGAAGTCATTGGTTGCAAATTTGAGTAAAAACACCACTTGCAAAAGGTTCGGTCCATTGTGCTCAACAATGAATGCTTGGGACGGCTGATATATTGCAAGAGAAATAAAGAGAAATGTTGCAAGACCGCTCTGCATGTGGCGCTCTTAATTCGCAAGCCTTCTCTGACTTTTTAGCTTGCTGACCAAGGTCTTCGCAGGGGCTTGTCCGAATTTGGAGGCTGCATTGTTGGAGCCTCCTGGGTGCTGACTGAGAGACACAGCCACTTGGCTTGGCAGTGTTTGGTTCGCTCCCAAAGTTCGTATGGGCGTTCTTGTCGCTCAGAGACGTCACTGCAAGATTCGCGCACCAACTTGGCGAATGTATGCGAATGTTCAGAAATCACTCAGCAGGATGGGTCAGTGATAGATGGCCACCTTTTTGCAGAAAGCTCCTGGCTGGGCTCGCATTGATCGCCAGCGGAACTCTCTTCGTAGAGTTCGTTGAGCCGTTTCCTGACACATGGAGTTCGTCATGGAAACAAATTGGAGCCTCAATTCCTGTTTTAACTCAAGATTGGGATACTAATGGCTCAATGAAATCTTTCATAAGCCGTTCCATTGAATGGACCCAGCAAAATGATCGTATTCTTATACTTATATATTCTTATAGTCTTTCATCCATTTTTAGGGCAAAATCTGTATATTTATCATGCTTTATCTTTTTTTCGAGGCATTCCCAGGTGGCAGTTCCCACAGCGTCCTCCAACTCGTCATTCCAGAGAGCTCAGTGGACTGGTCGGAAGAGTCGCAACACTTGGCCTCCTGGATGCAGCCTGGAGCACTGGAACTGGGTATAAAAACCTGGGTTGCCTGGGTACCAAAAAAACGGCATTTCCCCATGGTCCAAAAAGGCAGAAAGTACCTCGGGATAAGCATCAACTGGAATGATCACTATCTACCCTCAATATCCCTCAATCTCAAGGATTAGAACCTATTAAAAACGCAGCTTCGAATCAGGCATCATGGCAAATTCTATCCCCACTCAAAATTCTGCCCCAATAATAATTGTCCCAAAAAATAGGCCACGCCTCCAAACTTGGCCAGGTACAGTATCCACTGTCCAAGGCTCAGAGGGTGGCTGCCTCAGTGAAGCCCACCATAGCCCACCTCTGAAAATGGGTCTGCAGGTCCATGGGGTATATAGGGGTATATTGGCGTGTGTAGGGAATATAGGGGCAAGGGTCATCCCCGCCCCCCTGTGAGATGGGGTGGGGGTTGGTGATCATCTATGAGCCCGAGTTGCGAAAAATTGTGCTCGAATTTGTGCAATATTGTGCAGGAATCGAAACTTGAGTTCTGAGTTTTTGGTTTCGGCAACTGCAAAAACAGTACGAACTTCAAACACAGATACAATTGCTTAAAAACGCATACAAACTGACATTTTTGGGTCATTTTCACAAAATCTAGTGCGAATCCCTGGGCGGGTACTTTTTTTGTAGTCCGATATATAACTGTTCCTGAATATACAATGGATATTAACATATACCAGTAGTACCGCACAAGGCGGTGGCGGAAGTTTCGAAAATAGGAAACCTATAGGAGAGGTTGGTTGTTGTGAATCACGGATGGCAGAGCGAATCCACTGATGGACCGCAAGGTGGTTGAGGTCTCCTCTCTTTTTCTCTTTTTCTCTCTCTTTCTTTGACTATCTACCTACCTACCTACCTACCTACCTATCTATTTATCTATCTATCTTTCTTTCTTTCTTTCTATCTGTCTATCTGTCTATCTGTCTATCTGTCTATCTGTCTATCTGTCTATCTATCTTCTATATATCTCTCTCTCATCTGTCTATCTAACTATCTATCTATCTATCTATCTATCTTTCTATCTATCTACTGTCTGTCTCTGTCTGTCTGTCTATCTGTCTATCTGTCTATCTGCAAGCTTGAAAACGAAGCTATTCTGCGAGACTTCCTCAATTTTTGAACTTGGCACCATCAAAAATGCAGCAATTCAGCGAGACTTCCTCAATTTTTGAACTTGATAACGGCAAAAACGAAGCAAGTCTGCGAGACTTTCTCATTTTTCGAAGTTAACACCACCAGGTCGTACGAAGTGCTGCACCCGTCATGCAAAATCATTTCAACAAACCTGAAGATCTGATGCTCCAAAATGCAACCCCTCTCAGGAAATCAGCGCCCGGACCTCCTAACAGCTCTGATGAACATTGTCTCTTGTACTGCGCCTGCCACGGAAAATGCATCTTTGCAGATCCTCTTCAAACGTCCCACGCCTGCCATCGTTTTTGGAAATGCTACAAAACCCGCACGTTTTGCTCACTTTTGACAAGGTCCACAATCCCTTGCGCCTGCCAGGCGAAACGACATCTGAACGTCCAAAAGTGGTCCGAACCCCTGGTGCTTTTAACATTTTGACTTCGAAATGTGCTTCGCGCCACAACGGCGTGCATTTTTTCGACATCTCAATTTCCAAAAGTGGTCCGAGCATGGTGTGCTTTGTACATTTTGACTTGGACATGCGCTTCGCGCCACAACGGCGTGCATTTTTTTTGACATCTCAACTTCCAAAAGTGGTCCGGAGCTGGTGTGTTTTGTACATTTTGACTTCGAAATGTGCTTCGCGCAACTTCGTGCCACAACGGCGTGAAATTGTTCATCTCTGGCCAGCTGGCTCCGCACCCGCCGCTTTAGCGAGCCTACTTTTCGGCCCTCCGGAGCCACACATCATTGGAAAAACACACTGCTTTGCGACTTTCCTACCTTTTCGCGCACCTGCATCAACTTTCTTCTGACTCTTTCTTTCTCTGATCTTCTCTCTTCTGCTCTTCTCTTCTCTATTCTTCTGCTCCACCTCTGCTTTTCATCTGTCCATGTTGTCGGAAGTTTGACTTCTAAACTTCCTTCGATTAGCGGATTTGATGTTGACTACGTTGCATACGAGTACCTGTAGGTTAGAAATGAAGTTCTCCATGAGGATGTGCTGCGCAAGCCTACCAGAAAGGCTCACAGGCTCGCAGGACAAAAGCATTGGCTTCTCAATTAGAGTCCAAAGGAGCTAAACTCAGACTTTCGCATCATCGATTTTTGCCCATTGCTGTGGAAAGCTTATGGATGCCCATCCGCCTCGCTCAAGCCCTGCAACCGCAACTGGCTCTGCAAGGCCCGCGCCTGCTGCGAGATACTAGGATTGCCTTTGGAGCTGCTGAAATGTTCCAATCTCCACAATGTTCATGAAATATATGAAATGTCCATTTCTGTTCCATACTCCAATGATCTCCAATGCGTAAGCTACTAGTATGCTGCTAGCTAAACTTTGTCCAAATCCTCTTGATGCAGCCCCTGTCCTGGATCCTCTGGCCATCCGTCGTGCTCACTGCAGCCCACTCTTTGGGGAAGTCTCGACGAAAGGCCTGGAGCACTGGTTCGTGGCACGGCCATCAGCGTACCGATCTGACGACCAAAGTCCAAGAGCACAGCGCATCATCAAGCACGCAACAATTCTTTTGTGGTGTTTGGTCCAGGATGTCGCAGACCAAACTCAACTAAGCAAAAAGTGGCTCCAGAAAGCCAAACATTGCAGCTAATTACATGGATGCTACAGTATGGAAAATATTTGCTAATGGAAAATATTTGCTAATTACATGATATGGGATGCTACAGTATGCGGTGCGCAGGGTGAAAGCAAGGCCCCATCTGTACCACAATGCAAACGATAAAAGGTGCAACTACGAGCCCATTCGAATCTCTGAGCAACATTGACATCTGCTTTCTGCAGACTTGGCCACAGCTGCGACAGGAGGCCAACGTTTCTCACCGCCACTTCCATGTTAGGCGGTGGGTGTTGCTTTCAGATGATTTCAGGAATTTTCAGGACACATATTCCTAGCAAGAACTTCTTATGAAGAATGCTAGTCAAAACTTCGTGGGCGAGTGGAATAGCAAAACCTGCCTTAGCAGAATTCCGGGCATCAGAAGCTTCGACGACTCAAACCCGCAAACCCTCTAGGAGGAGCATCTCACCTTGGGGATACTTCAGCACTGTGAGGCGCCAAATCTTTTTCTCCTCAAGGAGGGTGGCCAACTCAGTGCCACAGTAAGCTTTCCCGTCAAATTCAATGATGCGGTCCAGCACCCCAAGGGTATCGCTGTGAACGCTCCGCTTGGCGTTCCACTTCGCCATGAGCCCAGAGTGGTTGAGCTCTTGAACCACGACTCCAACAGATTTATCTGTGTAAGCCAGGGTCATGCCCATGTCACCGGTCTTTTCCACAACGATTTGAATCTTTCTGGGGCGTTTGAAGGTCAAGTACATCTTGTCAGGCAATTTGCTTGTCATCTTCTTCTGAATGGCTTCCCAGCTTTGGATTCCATCAAGGGCCAGCAAAACGTCAAAGGTGCGTATGTCGGATCCCACGTAGACCCTGTTGAATTCCTCGATGGCTCCCTCCTCTATTCCCAAACCTGTAGGTGCTCTTGTTTCTGTCAACTCCAGCTGCAGGCCCAACGTGGCAAAGTTCTTTGTTGGCACCGCCACTGTGAAGGCCGTAGCTTCCTGAGTTGGAATCGTTGGAATGCCCTTGGTCGGCGCTGCTGGTGCCGCTGGTGGCGGAGGTGTCTGCAAGGTGAAAAAGAACTGCTGAGTCTCTGAAACCGAACGCACCACCGCCAACTGCGGACGCACCTGCGGATCTGCACGGGCAATGCAGCAAGCTAACATCGTTGCTCGCCACAGAGAGAACCTTGGCCCTACTGAGAACTTGAGCCGAGTAAAGTCAAATGGTCCAGAATTCGAAGATTTCGAAGTACCCAATCAGCAGCTTCAGGCACAGAATTCTCTGCATGTTGGCTACCAATTCTAGTCGCATCAGTGCCATGAAGATTGACATGTTGACATGTTTGACATTTCTTGCACGGGGGGTATAGGTCTGTTTATCACTATTTGTCCGTTGTTTAATTATATTTAATTATAATTAGTTTATTTCCACACATATTCACTACACCATGTCTTGAGCCACGGTCGACCAAGCCTCCTCTAGTAGACTCTAGCCCTGGTTCCTGGATTGGAGCCCATTGGGCCCGTCGAGCACATACCCCACCCATGGGGCCATGAAGGCTGGTGCCAAAATGTCGGGACCAAGACGAGTTCGATGAATTTTGATCAATTCCGATCGCAATTTAGTGATGTGAAATCAAATGTCTCGTAAAAAATTGATAAAAGCTGTAAAAATATGTTTTTTGAACTTGAAGCGGATCCCTTTAGAATCTAGAAAGATCCTGTAGCATGACAGCTGCTGTACTTCCAATGAAAGGCACAGCTGCTGTCGCTGTTACAGTACGGTCTCTCCCACCATCACCACCACCATGATTCACCATGTACAAGTAAGTATTGTTCTTGGTACTACCACACATTCAGTGCCACATTATATACTTTGTTGAATCTGTCCCAAGTCTAACATTCAGCTGCGCAGAGTGGTCACAGCATGTCACAGCCACCTTGGCAGCCCTGCAACGAGATCCAGGAGCCAACCGTCAATCCACGCCAACCCGAGGCAATCCTCATTGCTCTGCTGGCGCGGGACACCCTGGAAAGACTCGGGAAATCTTGAGCCTGCAACTCCCAGCAAACAAAAAGATCTGTGGATACAGCTGCGATTTTGCCCTTCTGCGCTCCAACTGGGCATCGTAAAACCTCCGAACTCTTAACTGAACCCGGAATAGGGTCTTCCCACAGAAGAGTCCTCAAATTTTCACCCATATGGGTAGTAAACTCAGTAAACCCATTGCCATAAACCTCATTAAACCTCCATTTTCGTGGAAGCTTTGAATCGTCATTGAGGGGATGGTTTATTACTGGGTCCACCACACTACACTGGCAGCAAAACTGTCTCAGTCTGGCCTAGCGCTGGTCCTCGCTTGACGAACTTGGAGACCTGCAGTGCAGCTTGGAAGCATCGGGCCGCGAAATGGATAGAAATGGATAGAAATGGGGTAAGTATCTCCACTCTATGGCAATGTTTAATGGGCAAAGCGTTGGATGCCCATTTTGTGGACCCATTGAGGCCATGGGCGACGCGATCTCAACCAATTGGATCATCCCCAGCTCGTCCTGACAGCCCCTACCCCCGCCTTCTTCCAGATTCCAAAGTCGTCTCGAGAAGGGCCTAGCTACTGCTAGGCTACTTGGTAACCCTCTGGTAATCAAACATTAATCAAACATGGCTTGCTGAAACATCCGACTTTACAATAGTTCTACAGTGATTCTACAGTGATTCTACAGTGATTCTAGATCCCCAATTAGTTCAGGGATTCCCAGCTTGTTTGGATGACACTGGAAGGGATTCGGTCCCCTGGCGCCTGGGAAGGCAAGCGCGGGCTGCAGCCTTGGGACTGAGGCGGTGCCCGGGCTTCAGACATCCATGCCATATCCATGCCATATGATTACTTGAGAGGGGGGGGAAAAAAGGTAGGGGGGAAAAGACAGGAGGGAGAGGCAAGAGAAGGTGCGACTGTTTGTAACGCAAGCACGACGACGACGACGACTACTACTACTACAACTACTACTACTACTACTACTACTACTACTACTATGACGACTACTAGTACTACTACTACTACTACTACTACTACTACTACTACTACTACTACTACTACTATGAGGACTACTACTACTATGAGGACTACTACTACTACTATGAGGACTACTACTACGACGATGACGACGACGACTACTACTACTACTACTACGACGACGACTACTTCTACTACTACGACTACTACTACTATGACGACGACGACGACTACTACCACTACTACGGCTACTACTACTACTACTACTACTACTACTACTACTGCTACTACTATTACTATTACTATTACTTCTACTACTACGACTGCTACTACTACTACTACTACTACTACTACTACTACCACTACCACCACTACCACTACCACTACCACTACCACTACCACTACCACTACCACTACCACTACCACTACCACTACCACTACCACTACCACTACCACTACCACTACCACTACCACTACCACTACCACTACCACTACCACTACTACTACTACTACTACTACTACTGCTGCTACTGCTACTACTACTACTACTACTACTACTACTACTACGCCCAGGCCCGTTACACTTTACATTCAATTGGGAAGATCAACAGCGTATTAGGGAATATTAAACTCCCACCCCCGTTAAACTTTGATTCAATTGGGAAGATCAACAAATGTATTAGGGTATATTAAACTCCCACCCCCGTTAAACTTTGCATTCAATTGGGAAGATCAACAAGGGTATTAGGGAATATTAAACTCCCACCCCGGTTAAACTTTACATTCAATTGCGAAGATCAACAAGCGGATTCATGACTTCGTGGAAATTGCGTTGAAGAGTTTGCCGATTTCTAACGTTAGATGTATAAGGTAGGCATTTTGGACAAGAATCGGTTGGAAAGAAACTTTTGGAGTTTGAAAAGCTCACCCAAGCAGCTGGAATGTTTGTGTGCTTGTTGTTGGTGAATCGTTATTCTTGTAGGTATACCGTGTTGTCAGCACGCGGACTCGTTGGACGGGCCTCCAGGGAGTCGACTGAGCTAGTTGTTGACGCTGTGGAGGCGCTTCCGCCACGACTACATAAAGTATCGTTTTTTGTTCTGTACAATGACGTTCCGAACTCCGAATACGTGGACCCGGTGGAGGGGCCTCCAAAGGGTCAACCAAGTGAGGGGTTGACTCTGTGGAGGCTCTCCCACCGGGTCCACAGAAACTATTGTTTTTGGTTAGTTGTTGCTTTTGTGATTTCTAGCAAGTTTACATAAAGTCCAACCGGGTCCACAGAAACTAATGTTTTTGGTTAGTTGTTGACCTTGTGATTTCTACCAAGTATACATAAAATATCGTTTTTTGTTCTGTACAATTACGTTCCGAACTCCGAATAGGTGGGCCCGGTGGAGGGGCCTCCAGAGGGTCAACCAAGTGAGGGGTTGACTCTGTGGAGGCTCTCCCACCGGGTCCACAGAAACTATTGTTTTTGGTTAGTTGTTGACTTCTTGTGATTTCTAGCAAGTTTACATAAAGTCCAACCGGGTCCACAGAAACTAATGTTTTTGGTTAGTTGTTGACCTTGTGATTTCTACTAAGTATACATAAAGTATCGTTTTTTGTTCTGTACAAGTACGTTCCGAACTCCGAATACGTGGACCCGGTGGAGGGGCCTCCAGAGGGTCAACCAAGTTAGGGGTTGACTCTGTGGAGGTTCTCCCACTAACAAGGGTATTAGGGAATATTAAACTCCCACCCCGGTTAAACTTTACATTGAATTGGGAGATCAACGAGCGTATTAGGGAATATTAAACTCCCACCCCCGTTAAACTTTGCATTCAATTGGGAAGATCAACAAATGTATTAGGGTATATTAAACTCCCACCCCCGTTAAACTTTACATTCAATTGCGAAGATCAACAAGGGTATTAGGGAATATTAAACTCCCATCCCCGTTAAACTTTGCATTCAATTGGGAAGATCAACAAGGGTATTAGGGAATAGTAAACTCCCACCCCCGTTAAACTTTACAGTCAATTGGGATGTTGATGATGTTGATGATGTTGATGTTGTTGCTGATGATGCTGATGATGATGATGATGTTGATGAAATGAGGGAAAAATTCGTCATCCGTTTGCCCAAACGAACGACACGGGGAATCTCACAAAACATTGGCCCTGCGCAGTCAAAACGCACTTTCCCGGGCAGCACATCCGTCCTGGCCGTAGTACTACTACTAGTACTACTACTACTACTACTTCTACTACTACTACTACTACTACGACGACTACTACTACTACGACGACGACTACGACTACGACTACT